GATAAACCAACCAAAGCTGAGGTTTAATGACTTTTTAAAAAATTCATTTCCTCTGATTAATATCAGCGATTTCTGTGCAGATGTCACCAAAACACAGGAAGGCCACGTTACAGAAACACGGTTCGTCCGTGATGCTGGGAACATGTGGCCGACACAGAGCAGCTCACCTATTATCGCTGTGCTAATTTTAATGAAAGCAATTTTCTCTTGGAACAAAATGGCAGCTTCACATTAGGGGCTGTGAAACGTCCGTGTATGTTCGAGCGAGTGTTTGTCCCCCGTGGAGTGGCTGTGTGGGTGAGAGCGAGGACATTATGAATGTGGAGTGTGTCATTTTCCTGGGTGTGTGTGTGGGAGTGGGGACCTTTGATTGGAGCTAGAGAGCCCACATGTGTCATCCTGACTAGACTCTGACAGCTGAATAAATGTTTCTGTCCCATCTTTTTTACACAAGTTATTAATGCAAAAACAATCTGCAGGCTAAGAAGTTCTATAGAAGCAAATTCTTGATGCTCTCGGTTAAATAAAACATATCCTTGCAGGGCCTCTGTGTGCGAGGGAAGTGCCATCATTTCTACTTCTCTGTCTGTGAATGTCATTTAGGGTCCGTGTATGTGTGGGTGGAGGGGCAGGCGGCCATGACTAATCAATACGCCTGATAATGAGATCTGAGCGGTGTCGTTGCAGCGGCCCCTTGGGCGAGTAACGCCTCCTCTACCGTAAAGAGCATCGTTGTCTCCTTCTCCTCCGACAGAGCACACAGCTCATTAACCTTTGGATTGGCACAACACCGACCAGACGCCGTTTACAACTCCCCGGGTGCTGTTCGCATTTATGGTTTGGCAAATAAAGCTTTTTCTTGCGTTGGAGGAAATGTTGCTGTTTCTTAAACGGTCTGAAAAAGATGACGTGTCTGCTTTTTTGGGCTGCGGCTCGCAGGTTTTATCAGCTTTGTGCTGTATGGAAAGTTACTGTTGAGCTGGAGCGTTCAGCTGCATGTGATGCACAGCAGATTCATCAGTTTAGAGACGTAGCGTGACGGGTTACAGTGGCGTGTTGGGCTGTAGCAGACTGAGGTGTGACCACGACGGGCAGAAATGAAAATTAACGTGATATTTAGGGTTGCATCACACTTTGTAGAGACACATGTGGCTGCAAACAAACTGAGCAGCTGTGATGACACAGTGTGTGTGTGTGTGTTTGGGAAATTTCACCCAAACCGTGAAAGATCTCTCCTCATCCCTGCAGACAGGTGTCACTCAGAGCTCGTGGGTGTAACACGCATAAAAAGCGGCTGCTTTGAAAGTGAACGTGGGAGAGAGAACAGGGTGTGTGAAAGTCACAAAAACCTCTGGGAATCAGACTGTTTTGTAGCCACTGACCTTCAGAGCTGTGTCACTTCCCCTGTGGGGTGCTATTGTGTGTGTGTGTGTGTGCACTTTACTGTGTGTTTGGCTGATTGATCACCACAGAGGAACCTTGATGACATCACAGATAAAGAGGTGCATTTGCAGCCGTGTGCCAGTTCCTCGAAAAAAGATATTTGGAAGCAGCGTTATGAGGAGCTGAATGTGGGATTCAGCTAAATGCACAAACAATAATTGAACTTCGGTGAAGACTCTTCAGTGGATGAAGAACATTTCTGTATCAGCACATTTCCCCCTTTCTTCACCATCTCTGGACACATATTAGAAAAAAGCTGAGGTCGATTTACATTAAGCATCAGTGTGGAGCTTCAAACAGAATCAGACTCTGAACAAAATCATATCAGTTTTACTGGCTTTGCTGATTTGTGCAAATATTCAGCTGTGAGTCAACGAGGCTCAGAGCTGGAAAGCTGTTTTTTAAATGTGTGTGCGTACAGTAGGCGTTTGTCTTTGTGTGTCCTCTGCTGAGAGCAGAGACTCTTTCCCCGGTGGTTTCCTTCAAGCTCCAGGGGAGGTGATTGGTGGACACGGTTTAATCGTCCCCTTTCAGTCCTGGTTAGGAGACAACATTCATCACACAGACTCACAACCTCACCTGGATTGTCCCGGTGCCACGCACTGTGCAAGCCTGTAGTCCTTACAGAGTCAGTTGCGCGCGCACGCACACACACACACACAC